TTCCATAGAGTGTCACAGATATAGCAGTAGAAAAAAGATACATTCCAGAATCCAAAGCAGTTCCTAGTGTAGCAGAGCCTGGTTAGATCCTGAAACCACTTTGTCCTCATTCATGGGAGGAAATGGACAATGTGATTCCAGGATAAAACCAGGATCCAACTGTATACCTCTTCAGAAGTATACTGAATCCTGAAACTTAGAGCCAACAGAAGATGTTAATCTTTTTGTTGATTTGGTAAGAGCGCTCTTGTTAATACTACTGCCTAAGCCATTCCTTGAAGTTAAAAACTGGTTGGAAGTCATGTTTTAATGAAATGGCAACAGCTGTGTTCTCTGTTGGAAATACATTTAACTGTAGTTCTGTCTGCAGAGCAAGCCTAATTCATATAGTGTTTGTATCGTGCTAGTAATATAAGTATGCATAATTTATATTGTTGGAATTATTTCTTTGCAGTTTTCCAACTTTTTTCCTATTGCTGACTGATTAATAGTTGCTTTTTAATTTATTTCAATATAAAGATTTAGAAAGCTTAGAATATTTATATGTTTGCCCCTGATAAAGGCCTAACTTTTGGCTGAAACTAGTACCCTTTGTGACAACTTAAACATTGCTTTTAACATTTCTTTTACACTTCTCTTAAAGGGTTGTTTTGTTAAATCCTGCCCAGCAATCACAAATTGAATTAAATGCACAAAGCCAATATGAAGGGAAGGGATGGAGAAAGATAAATCCTAAGAGGACTGAGGTAAAAAATAAAAAAGTCAGATCACCACAGGGTAAGAATTAAGGTCTGAGGGTGTCTGAGATTGGTTACGTTTATGAGCAAACACTCCTCACTCTCTTCCAATGTTCTACAATGTCTTCCTTAAAAGCTTCCACCTCCTTCAACTTCAGAGCTACTTCATGCTCTCATTAATACTAGACTTATCTTTAGTAATCTGAAGCACTGTCTGATTTTTTTATTAGGGCTGATTCCTTTTTCATTCTAATCCTAGCCTATGTGATGTATACTAAGCTGCAACCAGACTTCTCTGACAGGCCTCTAACTCTAACATCACATATATTTAAAGCTTTAAGCTAGACGTTCGCTAACCTCCTTAAATATCTTGTACTATTCATAATTTTATAAAGCCATATACCTTATGTACTTAAGTTTGTATATCTTTTTTCATTTAATTTAACTATCTCCTTCACTCCCGAAGACACTGGGTGGCTTAAAATCTCTAACTATAAAATTAAAACAGTTAAAAGCATCAAATAAAACATATCAGCCCAGACTAAAAACAATGTTAACAATAAAAACTGTAAACCACCCAGAGTCCTTTCAATGAGATGGGCAGTGACAAATTTGAGATATAAATAAATTAAATAAGTAAAAACATAACACACTAACCCCCAGGCCTGGGAACAGACCCAGATCTTAAGGCCTTCCAGAACCCTAGGAGGGCAGGCACTATACATATCTCTGGGGGGATGTTGTTCCAGAGGGTAGGGGCAGCAATAGACAAGGTACAATTCCTTGGTCCCAAAAGATGCCAATGTTTAATTGAAGGGACCTGGAGCACACCCACTCCACCTGAACGTACCTGGTGGGCAGAAACAATTGGAGATAGGCCTCAGATAACCAGGCCCTATGCCATGAAGGGCTTTATAGGTAACAATCAGCACCTTGAATTGCACCAGAAGTCAAGTGACACTCAGTGCAGCTCACACAGCAGCAGTGACACATGGGCATAACAAGAAGTGCCCATTACTGCTCACGCCGCTGCATTCTCAACCATCTGTAGCTTTTGGATGGTCTTGGCAGTCCCATGTAGAACACACTGCAACAGACTAACTGTGAAGTGATCAGGACATGAGTGACCATCTGAAGGGCCTTCTGGTTGAGGAAAGGGCATAACTGATGCACAAGATGAACCTGTACAAAGGCCTCCTGATCATGGTTGCCACCTGCTCATCAAGCAGTAGCTGCGAGTCCCAGAAGACCCCCAAGTTGAATGGGGAAGTACAACCCATTCTTAAAGCTTTCCTCTTCACCCTTCTAGTTAAGTAGGGAGCGATTTTGCAGCAATTTTGTTCTCACAATTGAATTCCAACATTCTGGAAAAAGAAAATGGGAGCTGAAACTATCACTAGCATGCACCTCTTCTGCACAAAATTTTAAAAAAAGATGTACTAAATGCTTGTGTTTTTCTGCTAGATGACATGAATAAATGGGTGGGAATGAAAGAATACAGAAAAACTGATGGAGCTATTTGGGGATCCAAGAATGAATGACAATGGTGATTGTTCTGTGAATATCTGCTTAGAAAAAGGTCTCCTTTCACTTATCAGTTTAAGCTTATACACACATGGCAAAAGGATGAATGTACAGCTAAAAGCACTATTGATTTTATTATGAGAGAATTAGTGAAAGATAGAAGAGAGGGTGAGAGATTCTCAGGGTAGGACAGACCAATTTTGGTGGGGTTAAGAGTGAAAAAGAGCGAAAGATGAACATGGTTGAAAAGGAAAGAAATGAGAGCGAAAGTAGAACTGAAGGAGAAAGTATGAATCTGTATAAAAAAGTATTAGAAGACAGATTACTGTCACAAAAGAATGAATGGAAAGTAGACTTAAGAAAAAAGGATATGGAAACCATTTGGAAGAGAATGAAAATAATGTTACAGAATGCCAAGAAGTGTGTTGAGTTATGCTAATGAGAAATCTGAAAAAGGATGTTTGGTAGAATGATTGCTGCAAAAAAATTAGGATGACAGAAAGATAATATATAATATGGTTATAAACAATATAGTTAAACAGAACAAGGAACCATTGAGATTAAAAGAGCAAAGAAAACAATGTAGGTGGAAATAAATGTTTTGGAAATAGATGAGATGGTTACACAAAAGAGCTTCCAGCAGAGTGACTAGAATTAAAAATGAAAGTGAAGATATAATTTGAGATGAAACTGAAATGAGGAAATGTTGAAAGGCATATTTTAAAGATTTGTAAAGAAATTACAGTGATGTATAAAAAAGTGGAATTGAAATAAATACTATAAATGCTAGTGTCCAACAAAAAACTGATGAAAAGCAAATCATAATTGCTATAAGAATGTTGGAAAATGGTATGGTTATAGGTATAGATTATATACCTTGAGAAATTATAAAATACATGTGTGGTTTGCTTACAGAGTGGCTATATAACTTGTTTGGTGTGTCTGTACATGTGTACAAGGACTGCATTTGTGCCTAACACTGGAAGAATGACATTTGGGAATTTTTCTAAATGGAAAGGTAGCAAGAGCGAATGCAAAAATTACAGGGGAATTAATTTGTTAATGTGCTTGGAAAGGTGTCCGACAGAATTCTGACTGGAAGGTAACAAACAGCAAAATCTGAAAAATGTAGGCGAGGGGGTTTGCTTAGCAAATAATTCAACATTAAGCAGGGAACAAGTCAAGCATGTGTCATGTTCCGTTATTTGTTTATAAAGTATTTATGGACAAATACTTGTGGTGAGGTGTGTTTGGTTTGGACACGAATGTATGTGTACATTTGTGCATAGATGATGCTATGTTGGCTGAGCATCCACATGATTTGTAGCAGATGTTAGACTATCTGCTGCAATGAGGAGTATGAATCTGGAAATTAATGTATCAAAGACAAAGATAGTTGTGACAGGGAAAATGGAGTGAACAACTGCAAGTTATATATAAGTAGCAAACATCTAGAGCAAGCTGATAAAATGTGTATTTTAACAAATATAGACTAAAGATAGGAAACTTCATGGAAAATTTTTAAGGGTGGTTCAAATGGTCATAGAAAGGTAATGGGTAGTGTGTGGTCTGTTGCAAGGAATCAATGTGTGAAAAGAAGCAAAGCTGGCCATGTGTAAGAGTGTACTTCTGCCTCTTTGTTATACGAAGAGTTGGCTTATCTCAAGAGAAAGATAAAATTAAGTTGAATGCATAGGACTGGAGTACTTGTGTCCGTGTTAAAACAAGAAAGTGGCAAAAATGAATGGGCGCAGGAAGCATGTGGATTAAATACAAAAGTGAGAGACCAGTAGAAAAAACATACAGTACACTAACTTAGTTTGGTCAGATAAAATGAATGAGGAGTGAATGGAGGAAGAGTGAACAGGCTGAGAGGAAGTAGAAGACTGAGAAAATAATGGCTGGAATTGATGAGGTCCTCACAAAGAAAAAAAACTGCCAAGATTAAAGAATAAAAGATAATGTAGAAGCCATGCATGAATGAGAAAGAAGCCAGGATAGAAAGGCATCAAGAAATATAGCAAACTTTGTTGGTGTAAACCAGGTTGCCCTTTTTGTTTCCTTATTTCATGCTTTTCATTCCTAGGCTATTTGACTCTTTCTGTGTTCTGAACAGTAATGCTCACCCCAAAAGGGAACAGTGTGTTATGTCTGTCTGTCTGCCTATATACAGCAAACAGTGCCATGTTTGGGCCCTAATCCTATACCAAAGACTTACCGGGTATGGAGTGCTTCTGGCTACGCGCTACAAGAATGCCAGGACAGAAATATCATCACAGGAATGGCTGACAAGCCTGTCTCAGAAGCAGGTAGAAAGCGCAGGGAAAAGCGCATTCTGTACCCCATGGGCCCCATAACGTTATGATAGCCCCAGCCCCGACCTAGTCCTCCTACTGCCTAAAGGAGGATAAAAACGAGTGTAAATATAGTCTTTTTGCACTGACGGCCCTACGACTGCCACGCTGCTTCGAGAAAGCACAGGGTATGGTGGAATCCAGTCACCGCGAATCAAGGGTTCCCTGGGGGGAGGAGATCGGTGGGTCTTTGAAGTTGAAATCCAGCAGCCCCCACAAGTAAGCCTCCTTCACCTCCGCTGGGCTTGCTCCTCCATAGCCAAACCCAGGCTTCGGCTTAACGTTGCTGCCCAAACCCCGCAGGCAGCCTCCGAAAAAACGCCTGCAGAGCACCCAGGAGCGCAGACTCTGCGTTCAGTTTACTGTATTTCGAGTCCGGGGGAGAAAGAGGCGCCAGAAGAGGCAGCGAGCAAGAACGAAGGAGCAGCGGATCGCCTCTGGAATGTCACTGCCCGGAGGCTGAACTTCCCTCCTGGCCTCCTCCGGACCGAATGGGAGGAATCCGCCTGCCTTCCCTCACACCCCCTTCTTTCTCTCCAGGGGAAGAAGGAGCACGCCACGCCACGCCGAGCCGAGCCGAGCCCTCCTGCTCCCGTCTCCGCCCCACCCTCGAGTTTGTTTGCATCCCCTGCAGTTACGTCCTGGGGTGGACGAGGAAGATGGAGGGCTACAAGGTCTTCCTGGCTCTCCTCGGCTCCGCGCTGCTGCTCGGCTTCCTCTCCGTCGTCTTCGCCGTCGTCTGGGTCCTCTACTACCGCGAAGGGCTCGCCTGGAACGGCGACTCGGCCGAGTTCAACTGGCACCCGGTCCTCATCGTCACGGGCTTCGTGTTCGTCCAAGGGATCGGTGCGTAAGGAGGGCGGGGAGGCCATGGGGCAGCCGAGCGACTGGGACGGGGGTGGGGGCGGAGAAGTGAGAGTCGCGAGGCTGCGGGGCTTTTCCCGCAAACGCGACCAGCACATGCAGATGGCTGGGGCTGTAGGTCGCTTCCCGCGCGCGCAGGTCCGCTCGCTTCCACGGGGCTGGCTTCTAGCAGACCGACGGGACAGCTGTTGTCAGCTTTCCCGCCGCCCAGGAACCCGTCCCAGGGTTGTAACACAACCTCAAAAGGTTGCGAGCCGGCGTGAGCTCCGCGCGGCTGAGCAGGGCTGCGACGGCAAGCTCGGGATCGCAACTTCTGCCTGAGCAGCGCTCTCGTCCCCGGCCAGGAGTTGGGACGCTCCCAGGATGCGGGGACCCCCGAAGAGTTCCTGGGATCTCCTGCCTCCGCAGACCGGCCGTTCCTCCCCCTTTCCTTGGTTCTGAGTCAGACTGTCTGCTGGACCCGGGGACTGTCCCTTTCGGAGCCGGTCAGCTAGCAAGCGAGCCTCGGTCTTTTGCGTCCAACTTATTTCTGAGTAAACACACTCAAGAGCGTTACAAAAGCGCCAGCCAAAGTTCGAAAGCAGTCTGTCGGGACGGGTTTTTTCTTCTCCTCAGCTTGGGCCCTCTTCTGTTTACCCGTATAATTGATTGTTTATATCGCGTCCAAGAGGAAGGGGGGTGGGGGGAGATACAGGCTTCCTATTTTTTCCCCAATGGCTGCGTTTTTAATGGGAGTGTCTTTGGGACCGTTAATTCTCTCTGGCGATTTAGACGCCTTACCTGAATTGAAAATGTGAACATCACAACTCAACGTTTCTTTGGATTGCTGAAGATCTTAGCTCAGGTTGAAAATATGGGCGGGGAGAGGGACGTTTGCTAAACGTGTGACAAATCTGGATGGTGTAAAAGGAACAGCACAGTCTTGTTTACTGGAAAGCCCCACTGTGTTCAGTGCTGATTACTCTTATGTCATGTGATGGAATGGAATTATGAAGTGTGTTGTGGCTGTTGTGGCTGGCTGACTTTGGGGGTTAGAAGTTGTAGCTAATAAACATAGCTGGAGTGAATTTGCATTGTCTCTTAGAGTTCCAACAGTGTGAATTCCTCAGGGAGGTGCCAGTCTCATCCTCTTGTTCCTCCCACGCTCTTC